CACTTGCCGGGTAACCTAATCTAATGATCCACTTCAACCAACACCAATGAGACAGAAAGAGAACACTCCTCGTGACACAGAGTGTGAGACACAGTGAGGGCTCGTCAGAAATGGAGGCTGTAAGGCTGTGAAAGGCATCCGGGGGTCAGCAACTGAAACTGACTTGGGATAAGTTACAAAGAGGGGGTAACTCGGGTCGGGCGCCTTTGGGGGACTCAGGATCGGTAGCCTTTTCCGAGATTAAGAAGAGGTTGGGGTAAAAAGAGTTTGCCAGAGAGGACAGCAAGAGCAAATGTTTGCTGCTGGGGAAGAGCCTCCAGGTTAGGAAGCTATAAGCAGCTGGACATGACCCACCAGGAGGAGGCGCCTCAAGGTGATGGGGAGAGACATGAAAAAAGCTCATGGCCACCAGGAAGTGGACCCCGCTGTCACCCGGAGGGGGGCAAGAGCAAATGAAGCCTTGTCGGGTGAGAAACAAGGGCTGTTGCAGATTCTCAACTCCGATTCTCTCCACTTCGTTGCAATTTGTTTTTCCCTCATCTCAGCGTCCTTATTTCTCATGTTTAAACAATCATTTTTTTTTTTATCTTTAGTGAGAGAAGGAAGGAGGTAATTTTATTAGCCTGAGATATTCAAATTAATCCAGCTGATCCTTGTAGAAAATAACATTTCTACAACATAACTGAATGCATTCAAGTCATAAAGGCTTCTGCACGCACTCTCTAGAATGCCACAGTCAACTGCCAGGCTGAGCTCCTGCACGGGGGCTAGTCCGAATCACAGTGTGCTCTGTGTGTAAAATCCACACAAGATTTTACAGATTTAATGCAAAAAAAAAAAAAAAGAAGAAGAAGAAGAAACGTAACATCTCATTAATTTCTTGTAATGAGTTCATATGGAAATAACATTTTTGATACGATGAGTTAAGACCAATATACTATTAAAAATAATCCCCATTTCTCTGTGTTCAGTCGAATGTGACCACCAGTTTCTATCAACTAGCCATGAGGCCTACACTATGTTTCTACTGGACGGCAACATTTATGACACCGGCACAACCCTCTGTTTATCCGTACGCCTCCCTTTTTGGTCACCCTTGGAAATCGTCATTTAAATTAAAATAAATTATTCATAGAAATCAATAAGACCGCTTTACCGAAGACATGTCAGAAGGAACAGTCTGTGCAGAAGAACCGCAAGCTTTATCTCTCTGCACACTGAGTACACAGTAGGCTCCCGAGCAGCGCACACAACCACAAAACGTCCGAGAGGAGAGCTGTGCTGTCTTGCACCAAAGTCAAGGTGACGTCTGACAACTGTCACAAGGGCTGTGTTGTCAAAGCCCCCGTTCAGGAAGTCACAGTCTTCTTGCTGGGCCTTCTGTGCTCTCTCTCTCTCACCAGGTGGTGATGCTGATGGCTTTTCCACAGTTCAGCTCCATCAACGACCTACCCTTGATTTCCACCAAAAGGACATCACAACAATGGGAAGCAATGATGGGAAGAGAACTGGGTTTCCCCGCCACCACAGCAATGGCAAACATGCGTCCGTGGCGAAGGCATGGTCCAATTCTTTGCATCTCTTTATTTTGCAATAACTTAAAGAAAATTTGCAAGAAAAACACAGTGGACTCTAATAAGCCCTTCATCTAAATTATTCAATTTCCCCATTAATTATTTTTATCACATTTGCTTCTTTCTCTCTGGGTGCACGTGTTATAATTTCTTAAATGATTTCAGAATATGTCGGAAAAACCATACCCCTTACCCCTACTTATCTCAGTAGGTTTGTCCAAAGAACAAGATCACTTCCCTACATAATCACATCACAGTTATCAAAATCAGAAAATACATTTCTACTCTCTCATCTACAGACATTTAAAAATTTCTTTTAAGATTTTATTTATGGGCACCTGGGTGGCTCAGTTGGTTAAGCGACTGCCTTCGGCTCAGGTCATGATCCTGGAGTCCCGGGATCGAGTCCCGCATCGGGCTCCCTGCTCAGCAGGGAGTCTGCTTCTCCCTCTGATCCTCTTCCCTCTCGTACTCTCTCTCTCTCATTCTCTCTCTCTCAAATAAATAAATAAAATCTTTAAAAAAAAAAAAGATTTTATTTATTCATTTGCCAGAGAGAGACAGAGCACAAGCAGGGGGAGCGGCAGGCAGAGGGAGAAGCAGGCTCCCCGGTGAGCAAGGAGCCCGATGCAGGACTCGATCCCAGGACTCTGGGATCATGACCTGAGCTGAAGGCAGATGCTCAACCGACTGAGCCACCCAGGCGTCCCCAGACGTTAAAATTTTGCCAGTTGTCCCAATAGTGTCCTTGATAGCAAGAAAAAAAAAATTTTTTTTTTCTGTTCCAAGATATGAGTTGGACCAAGTGTTTCATTTGATTGCCATGCCACTTTGTCTCCTTGATGAGGGACTAGCCCTTCTTTCTTTCCATGCCTTTCATGGCCTGGTGATTTTTGAAGAGTGGAGGCCAATTTTTTATAGAATGCCCCTCAGTTTTGGTCTGTGTGATGTTCCTCCTGATGAAACTGGTTATAATCTGTAGTTCAAACACCAAGGAAATCCTGCTGTGTCCTTCTCCGTACATTCTATCAGGACACGTTTGCTGGCTCTTTGTCCCATGACCGGTGAAGGGGACCCTTGATTACTTGGTTATGGTGGGACTGGCTGGGTTTCTTCACCATCAAAAGACAGTTTTCCTTTTATAATGAATAAATATGTTATAGGTAAATACTTTGAGACTACATGAATATCTTGGTCATCATCAAAGTCTCACCCATACATTTTCACAGCCATTGATCATTTATGCCTGAATCAATTTTTAGTATCATGGTTGCCAAGTCAGAATTTTGTAATTAAATCATCCCTTCAATATTTGTCGGCTGGCATTTACAGAAGGAAGAACGGTCCCTTCTCCCTATCTGTGTACTTATTCAGTTATTTTGATGTTAGTATATCCTCACTGATTCTTAGTTTATTCATGTTATAAACTGAGACTGATTATACATCATGATTTAACAATCAAATTATCCCAGATTTCTTCAGTGAGCCCATTTCCAGCTGGCTCCTAGGACCTTCTGACCTGCCCTCATCATGCTTTGAATATGTCCTTAATTCCTGAAACAAGATATTCCGGGCTTCTCTGGGACTTTCACTGCCCAGGCCCTGGAACCAGCTACTTCTCCAAGAAACTGTGGTTCCTATTAGTGGAGAATTAAATTTAGAAACCAAGAACTGCAGGGGCACCTGGGGGGCTCAGTCAGTGAAGCATCTACCTTCAGCTTGGGTCATGATCCCAGGATCCTGGGATCGAGTCTCGTATTGGGCTCCTTGCTCAGCGGGGAGCCTGCTTCTCCCTCTCCTTTTGCCCCTCCCCCCCAATTGTGGGTGCTCTCTCTCCCTCAAATAAATAAAATCTTAAGAAAAAAAAAAAACAAGAACTGTGAACTGTACTTTAAATGAGCTCATTGCTACTGGTATGCCAATGCTTCCAGACCCTCTCAGCCGAGACAACTGAGAGACAAGGAAATGAGTGCGTACGCGTAAACAGATGTTTGTGCCCACGTCTACACGCTCCGCTTTTTCCCACACACACTGTGGCAGATAATCTAGTACACCATGAGAATCAAAATGCGCAGAATATATAGTTCCCATCTATTGAAAGATCTATACCTTTGACAAAAGATCATTGAAAAATCAGAGTTTTAAAGCAGTACTTTGGTTAAACTGCTGATCATTTTGATAACTTAATAATACATTCATGATTGTAACCGACAAAGCAACTCATTTAAAGACTTTTATACTAAATTGCAGTGGCAAGACAATTAATTCTCGGCTGGTGTGTTGAAATGATTATGATAATAAGTCATTATTTGTCGTCATCACTTTTAAAAACAAAAGCAATTAACATTTGTTGAGAAGTTACTATGCCTTCTCCCTTTTGCACACCTTCCTTTACTTAATTTTAGCAGTGACAGTGTGAGGATAATCAGTGCCTTGTGGCCATTTCACAGATGAGGAAACACACAGTTGCTGGGATGCATGAAGCTATATCCCAAACCCGGGTCTACAGATCTTCAGAGCCCTTGCTTTTTTACCAAAATTAGCTTTGGCGTATTTTGAGGCCCTGGTGAATAAAAGATAGGCCTAATATTAAATCCTTGCTCTGAAGTTTCCTGGATGTTCACAAATATAAGCATTACATAGAGAAGAAGCTAGTCTCAACTTCTCTCCACTACTTCTTAGAGCTTTAGTACACGAGGGTGATATGAAAACTGGTTGAAGAACTTCTCCGAAGCTGCACAGTGACCAGGAGTTCTGGCACATTCCGTGGAGGAGTTCCAGATGCTCGGCCAGGGAGATATTCATGTCCTCTTAACTCTCCCCTTGTCGAAGGAAACCCTGGTTACCAGACACTTCCACTAAAATACATACTCTATTCAGGCAGAAGGATCTCAGGCTCCTTCTTCAAACAGTAAAACCGGAAGTAGATAAATTGCATTTTTATCTGCTATTTTATCACTTATTCTTTGCTCCATGTGGTTTTTAACCCCTATATTCATATTGACATCATTATAGGCAATAAAGAGGAAACAAAGATGTCTTTCTAAGGAAACTGCCTTTTACAAAAATCTGATGGCTGAAGGCAGCAAACTAAATAATCAGTGACTCTTCTGACTGGGGGGAAGGGTGCTCCCAGACATTGAGGAAGTGTCCTTTGAATTATCTACCATTTGACAAAGAATAAATCGGGATGAGGCCCATGAAAGGAAGGCTGCACGGAAGGAGAAAAGGGCCGGTGGGGAACGAAGGCAGGTGATGAGTCATGTCACACAGGGCAGCCAGGAGTCCTGCAGCCTGGCCCGCTGGGGAAATGCACCCCCCGCTCCGCTGTGATTAGTACCTTAACAGACATCTGCCTTCATGCCCTCCAACGGCAAGTTAATTGGGATGGAAAATGAAAGCTCGAGCAAGATAAACTGCACCTACCTGGATCAGAGACAAATCCTCAAGCTGTAACCTGAAGAGGTAGTTTCTACAAAATACAAAAAGAGAACAGTTATTATTTTTAATAGATGCAAAATATTACAGGTCATAAAAATTATGAGAACAAGGGAAAACAAAGTAATGATTTTTGGCTTCCTAAACCTTCTCCTGCTAAGAATGTGTTTAGCACGTTTTTCCTTGCACCTCGGAGTTCAGAGAGGCATTCAATGTGTCAACAGGTGCACATCTGGGACGGCAAGAAAGTTAAGGAATAAGGTGTGTGTGTGTGTGTGTTTGGTGTGTGACTAACGGAAATCTCAATTACTAATTGACTCTCTTGTTCTATGTGGAAAGGACCAAAGGATACGGGCAATGGATTCTGAAATTGAGTTTAAATTAAGTAAGAGAATACAAAACCGTTCATGAGTCTTCCATTCTTAAAGATCACCTACATTCGCCACGATTTACAATTACAACACATCCAGGTTTTGAATTCAACCATAGTCTGAGCATTACAGTGTTCTCTCTTGTTGGATGGATTCAGTGTGTGCATGTTTAGAAGCATAAACTCATCAGTCTGCCATCATGGGTTTGAAAGGGCCCCCCTCCGCCCCCCGCTGGCTGCCCAAGTGTGAAGCAAGAAAGCAGAGAAAAGGAAACTATCTGTTTTCAACAATGAAATATGCGGTCGAGATCAGCATCACAGGGGGTAAACACTAATATCAGTCCCTTGCACTTTATCACTGTAGCTTTTAGAAACACACTGGCCTCCCTAGTGGGCGACGCTCTGGCCTCAGACTCAGGACGTGACTGCCCCCTTCGCCGCGCGCCGACGAGGAGCTGGTGCAGCTGGAGCCACATTCCGCGCACCGTGAAGAAGAAAGTGAGCCCAGGTGTGAATAGTAAGTGCAGGAGAACGGGCGTAGAATGGAAAGCAGATGCTATGAACGCATGAGCGGGGGGGAGGGTCTCCAAGAAGCTGCCGTTTTCATGTAACGGGCGCCCCGAGATGATTTTCACGGCATAAGAGAGTAAGGAAAGTGTCCCGACAGCAGCCGGAAGCTAGAGTACCTTATTTTCACTATCCGGGGAGGTGGGTAGATGTCAGAAATGGCCACGCTGTCCCGGGGGGAGTGACGAGTGACAGCCAAGTCAGCCACGGGCATGCCCTTGGGGAGACTGAGAAACAGCCTTACTGCCTGGGCAAGGATGGGAAGGCAGGGCCAAGAGGGAAGCCCGCATCCAGCAGCATGTGTGTGCGCACTGCTTGGAGGAAGGAAAGGGACAAGCTCACTTTTCGAGCGACTCAGCCCTGGGCATTCTGCTGTCTCCCGGTTTGTCCCCCAGCACGGGGGGCCCTGCTGTCCCACACTCAGCGAACACTGCTGCCTCCTGAGCCTTTCAGCAGCCTCTTCACCACACTCTTTCCGAACCTCCAATTTTACCTCTGAAATAATGCCAGAGAAGCTCCCGGAAGCATGGCTTGGCTCATGCCAAAAAGCCATTGGGGGAAACGTACCCTCTCTTTTATTACAGGCAGCCCACAGCCCTCTCTGCGGACCCAGATTAAGGATGCCTCTGACGAGGGAATGTGACAGCAGAGTCTATTTTTATTTGGTCGGGCACCATGCAGAGGCAAGGTTTCCAACAGAAACATCTTCCTGCAGGAGAAGGAATGTGAACCCGGTGTGTGCATGCAAGAGCGTCACTGAGCTGCCAAGGAAAGCGCCACTGGAGGCTGGCGAGCATCGGAAGATGGGCCAAGCCTTCACCTGATGTGAAAGAGAGGCCAGCATGACTCCTCCAAGAGAAGCTAGAAATCGAGACACCCGCAGAGATCAATCTTTCAGATGAGAGGCTTACGAGTGGCAGGAGGGGCATTAACGGGCCGTAATGCACACATTGCCTTTATGAGCACCATGGCTCCCTACCCTGGCGCCGGTCTCGTAACTGGCTTCCTGCCTGCAGGATGCTGAAGGCGGTTACCGTGCCTTGACTCTGGGAGGTGGGATCACCCCATGGTAAAGAATATCCGTGCAAAAGCCCAAGCTGTGCCACTTACACAACCTCGGGAAGGAAGCTTAAGTGCTCTGCGCCTCAGTCTTCTCATCTGTAAAATGGGGCTAAGAGTCCTACCTACGCCCTGCGGCTGTTGGGAGGGTTACATCCAAGGAAAACATGTAGAATGGGGTCTGAGCCATTGCAAGCACTCCATCAACTGTAGTCACTTCTAGACAGTCTATGGAAAATACTGAAATTTCCAAACACACTGAAATTCTCAGTACATTCTCCATTGGACGGAGGACAGAGAACTTCTGCTCTCCAGGCATTTCCGGTTTTAGGCATAAGGCAGCGTGACTGGGTGTTCAGGAGTGGGGGGTTGCTGTCAGTAGGGATGGTATGGCCCTATGGGCTTTTTAGAACAGAAGACAGCACTGTTTAGCTTATGGTTCTGGGACATAGTCTTCACACTCTTCACACTCACTAGCTCTTTTAAAAAAGACTTTTTCTGTAAATACTTATGGTAAACAAGAAATTATTCATATTTTTAATCAATTAATTACCTAAGGGCTCCGATGAGGTTGCAAGGCCACCCCCCCTCCCCATCCTCCCATCATACACCCACCCCCCTGCTGTGTATACACATGCGTGCGCGCACACAGACACATCCATATCTGGGAACTTTCTAGAAAGGCACTTCTCACACACAACCAAGAGCTGGAGTTTCCTTCACACCACTGAGGGAAGAGGATGGTTGTGCCCACCACGCTCTGTAGAGCTCTGGACAGGACAACTGGAAAGAAAAGTTCCAAGACCTCTCTCTACTTGGGGAGTGGGTCGGAGGAGGTATCGAAATCATTCTTTGAAACGCCTGGGTCCAGTTTTCAGGTGCTGTCCATGAGGGAAGGGCTGTGGTGTGAATGTCTGTGTCTCCCCAAAATTCTTATGTTGAAATCCTAACCCCCAAAGATGATGGTGATAGGAGGTGGGACTTTTGGGAGATGATTAGGTCATGAGGGTGGAGCCTTCATCCGTGGTATTAATGGTCTGATAAAAGAGGCTCCAGAGATTCTTCACCTTTCTACCATGGGAAGACACAGTGAGACGTCAGCCATCTGCAACCCGGAAGAGGGCCCTCCCCAGAACCCAGCCATGCTCCCTGATCTTGGACTCCCAGCCTCCAAACCTGTGAGAAATAAATTTCCATTGTTTATAAGCCGCGCAAGTCTGTCGAGTTTTGTTCTAGCAGCCCCAAGAGACCAAGACAAGAAGACGCTGATTTATGATAAGAAACATGCCACATTCTCAATCCACATGTCCCCAAGCAAAATTCACTCCACTATCAGGTGACAGTCTGTAAAAGTAGCCCTCCCTGGGGCGCCTGGGTGGCTCAGTTGGTTAAGCAGACTGCCTTCAGCTCAGGTCATGATCCTGGAGTCCCGGGATCGAGTCCCGCATCGGGCTCCCTGCTCGGCGGGGAGTCTGCTTCTCCCTCTGACCCTCCTCCCTCTCGTGCTCTCTCTCTCTCAATCTCTCTCTCTCAAATAAATAAATCAAAAATAAAAATCTTTAAAAAAAAAAAAGTAGCCCTCCCTGCCCCCCGCCATTGCTGGTGAATTTCAACCATCTACTCTTACTCCCCTGAACACCTCACAGCGATGGTGCCCTCGCCACCATCTGGTCAGTAATGTGTCAGTATGGTGGAGACACACGGGAGGGGAACAGAAGGCAAGGGGAGAGAGAAAGAGCCACGGTAATTATGAGAGGCCGCCACAACCATCACCGCCGCCGCCGCCGCCGCCGCCATGCCCAGGGCCCCAGTGGAGAGAAGCATCAAAAAGGACTGGAACTTCTCCTTTGGTATTTTCTGGGTTACAAGATTGCAAACCAGTCATGATTTTTAAAACATCCTCGGTTTGTTTTTTTTTTATCTAAAAAAAAAAAGGCAGAGAATTCAGGAACTCTAAAGCTGAGTCGTCATTAGAAGGTATACACCTTCAGTGTGCTGATGAGGAAACATCTGCAAATGAAGAGGTACGATGCAATTTATTCGAGATTATTAGGATCAGATAAAGTCCCAGCATTACTATCAAGACCTCTCACGCTGTGCTCTCCCTTGGCCCACCGTGCCACGCAGCTTCACCAGCCAGTCATCCCAGGACGCCTTCCTAATTTCACCAGCCCCACACCCCCCCACCCCCACACACACAGAAACACAGTAATAGTTGTTACAGCACAAGTATTTCATGTCTTCATTTCAATTCACAGGTGCATTTGCATATCGTTTTGAGATGATTCAAGTCTCAACGCTGCTAATGGCAAGCTTTTGATTCTAGGTAATTGATTCTCACCCCTAGGGCTGAGATCTGACTGCGACATATGTCTCCCCATTAAGCGAACATGTTAATCCTACTGGTCTGATTACATGGCGCCTCCTTTCTCCCTCCTTATTTCCCACAAATTCTTCCTGAAACTGCCTGCCTGTACTTTAAGAGAGCCCACGTCTCTTCATTTATGACACTGAGAGAGCTACGCTATACCATGTCTCGGTATACTTAAGTCACACAAATTCCTGAAAGACCGTGACTCTTTTTAGATACCAGATGGCCAAGAGAGTTGCATGACTATGTGACCATTGGATGAAAGACCTGTTATCCTGACATATTTCAATAAATTATGAGAAATACTTTGAGTGTTTTTGCTTTTTAGAACTCAGTGCCAAATTTCAAAATCACTTTAAATGAAATCTCAGGACATAAGAGAGGAAGGATAATTCTTTTTCTTTTTTTTTTTCTCTTTCTCTTTTTTTTTTTTTTTCAGGGAGGGAGAGAGGGGGCAGGTAGGGGCAGAAGGAGAGGGAGAGAGAGAATCTTAGGCAGGCTCCACACTCAGCACGGAGCCCAACACAGGGCTAGATCTCACGACCCTGAGATCAAGACCTGAGCCAAAATAGTCGGATGCTTAACCCATGGAGCCACCCAGGCGCCCCAGAAAGATAATTCCTTATTAACAAAAACTCATTCAACAAGTATTTACATATAATATTTC